CTGTGACACGCACGGTAGCTACGAAAGAAAGTTAGACGAGTAGCCAGTAGGCATCACCCTGCACGTCAGGCCAAGCCAACGCACAAGGGGGTACTAGCCGCTTCTGCTCGATGGCAATGGCGGCCTCTCCATTCGCTGCACCTGCTTTCGAAACAGACGGTGACACTGATGAAGCTACCAGCTGCCTGCCTGATCAAACAACTAAAGCAATTTCATTCACGCACTGACTTAGTCCATATGCGTGTGCCGGATCTCCCATGTGCCGAATTGCCAGTATGATAAGTGAATGATAGTACGGTATAGTACTCATCTTCTATAGCTCATCTTACTGTCCTAGCCAATCAACATGGCATGTTTGAGCAAAGCAAATGGACGTGGGAACCTAAATTGTGCACGAGGAGAGATGGAAAGCAGCCATACTCCAAACCGTCGTTACCAAGCGACCAAGCAGCACAACCTACCAATTATCTTCGAACTGTCCAGCTTTGGGTTGCTTCAATGTAGGAGTCCTCCTTCTTCTTTCTTCTTCCGCCGATATGTGACATGTAGACAAGTAGTACTATATCACTGATATATGTCTTCTGTCTTCTTCTTTTAGCGAGGTAGTTGGTCACGTGCATATTTTTGAAGTGTATATCATCAGGCGATCAAACCTATGTGTGCGAGCACGGAATTGTCATAGAATGCAGAGAGCCCAATGTCGTCAGGGTCCATCTCAGGCGCACGTGCTCCAGAAACTTCATGGTAGATGCCGCCGCCGACAACTCTCTGGCCGCCATTAGCCATAGCCGTGCCACCCCCAACCCGCCAATACGTATCTTTGCATCACCGTAGTTGCTATCGCTATCACCGACGATCAGCCCCTGAGTCACCATTGTCAAATATGGGCATCGGAAACCCATCACCAGACGTGGCCACCCGTGTCGACCGCCTTAACGCACGCAACACAGAGGCACAACCACCACCTAGGGCACCCCGGGTCGCAGCCCCGACATCCAAACTCCATCAACTACGTATGACATGCCATTCAATGTCGCCATATTGCATGATCGGATGGCTCCCCGCATGAGAAGGCACCCCCATCGCCACCGTCGATCAAGCAAGCTTTGTTCGCTGGCATCCTCTAGTGGCAACGGAGGAATTAAGGAGAGGGGGCGAAGAGACGGTGGCAGCTAGGGTTTTGTTCGAGTCGCCTCCCCATAGCGACCCGTGCGTTGAATTGGTATTTGTTTTCCTAATACCGTTAGGAGCTGATATGTGTATTTGGACATTCTCTTATTGATGATCTATGTAGACTGAGATCAAAATGAATTTCTAGACTTGTAGTCAACTTATATATGTGCAGGATGCCACCTAATTTAGACTTTTATAAGAGAGGAAATTGATTTTTATTCCCCTATTCAATAGGATAAGCCCTAAACGCAATCAGAATGTTTTGCATGTCAATTTATCACCATTCTAAATAATATTTTATATTTTTGTTCTAACCTACTGATGAATAACTACTAAAAGTGCATGGAAGGTTGTATCAGTAGCAGATAGAGCTTGGGAGAATATGAAGCATATATATTTGCTGCTTTGAGGCTCAGAATTCATTACTTTCACATCCATATTGGTTTTTGTTTTAGCAAAACATCCATATTGGTAAGAACTACAATTCTCACTACACTTGAGGGTAACCATGCTCTTTCTTACTAACGTTGATGGTAGCATAGCATTAAGTTAAATATTCTTGTTTGCATTTGTTTGCTTTGCTATTAACAAATGTGTATCCATCCTCTTTTCTTAACAAATACCGCAAAATAATCAGTCTCTTTCTTATAGGTTGTTGATGGGTTATTTTAATAAGGGTGGTACTAACACTTGTGATATCTTTCTTGGTACTGATAGTTGGAATTGAAGAAAGGAGTGTTTATGAGAGTGAAGAACCAATGAAGCAAGTGGATGGAGAATGGGGTAGCTACTCATGCCTACATTTCAGTGATGGTGATGACTCTCTAACTCAAAATGATGCTCTTATTTTTTTTATGTTGCTACAATGATGAAATTCAAAATAAACCATTTGAGAGTTTAAATAAAGATGAGACAGAAATAAATGATGATCATATTATGCTTGGTATTATTACCCTCCATTTAACACAATTTTACTAGCTTATGAGATTTTGATGAGGACATGAATACCTTGGATACGACCAAAAATATTGCATACATGTATATTTGTCAGGTGATTTCTAATGCAAACTATTCAATAATCTATTTATGTTATCCAGAACAAAAATACTTCACACACTTTTGTGTTTTGTCTAATTGCAGGTGTATGGGACATTTGTACAATCCACATATGAAGATACGGGAAAAGGAGAAGTTTAGGTTGTGTTCAAAAAGTCCTCTCACGTCACTTTTGGGCCAAGAGAAGATAGAGTCCAAGTCTCTCACGTTCTGGATTCAGATTCGGACTGCACAGACATACCTGACTCAAAACGCCAACAACTTTTTCATACGGACTCCGAATTGGGTGATTCTTTTTTTGTTGGAAACTAGATTTCGTGCTCTTTCCAACCCAATTGGATTCACCTTCAAATTCGTCCGGAGCATTGAGTTACGGACGAAACAATCTGACGTTGCAGCAGAATCCGAGTCAAACTACAAGCCCAAAGGTGTTGCATCACCTCCACTTGGGCCCATGAGCCTTGTACGACCTAGGGTTAGTTTTAGTCTGCCTTGGGACGTCCTCCCACCTCCTTGGCCGCCACCCCTTACTCCTATATAAGTAGATCCATCTAGTAGCTTTTTCCTGGCGATTTGTTTAGTTAAAAGTTAGCCATTGCAACTTTGTGTACTTCGTTTGTGTCCAACGACCAGACCAAGACCGCTTTCGGATACCCACCATTATCAACACTTCATATATATTTGCAATATTCAGATTGCTTTATCATATTCTTGCTCGTTCTTCGATTGATTGCAGGAATAGACCTTCGTGGTCAGGCTGACCGTGCTTCCAGCATCGTCAGTAACCTCAGGAGATTGGTTTAGCGATTGCTAAGGCGCAACGTCGTGCATGTTTCTAGTCGGATCGTCAAAGTCGTCTCCACCAAATCGATAGTTATTATCTCATCGAAAGATCGGGACCCTCGCCTCTATCAGATTTCCTTTGTGAGAGTGTAGATAAAGATGAAATAAAAATAAACGATTCATGTAGAACAATTATTACCAACCTAGAGTATGGAAGAATGAAACTAGTCCTGGCCATGGGCTGCCCGGCCCGAAAAAGCCCGGCCCGACGCTGCTCCCGGGTCGGGCCTGGGCCTAGGTTTTGAGCCCGAAGACTAGGTCGGGCCGGGCCTCGGCCCGCTGTTTATGCCATTTACTGAAGAGGCCCGGCGTGTTTTTTGCTGTGATGGGCCGGGCTCGGGACTGAAAACTAGGCCCAACGGTCGGGCCGGGCCGGGTTCGGGCCTGAGTTTTCTACCTCGGGCTTGGTCAGGCCCGGCCCGGAGGATGGCCAGGTCTAAATGAAACCGATCTTAATGAAATACAAGATCCATTTAATGGTGGTGCCCGTAGGGTGAATCCCTATCGCTTGCCACGGAGGACTCTTGTCTGAACCTCTAATTTATCTGGTGAGAAATGTTCTTGTACTCGAAAAACAGCCAAGGACACAAATCAAAATGGTAGAATTTCGTGATATTTTTTTGAGTCAGAGGCACATCATTTTTTGAATTTATCCCGGCCGTGCTTCTCATTTTCCGAATATCATCTTGAGACCGATGGCAATATTTTTCAACCAAAGAATATCAGGAAACCATGGGTTTTGACGGTGGGATTTCCATGCGTCCAAATCGTGCAGTTAATGCCAACTGAATAAATAAGAGTAAAAAGGAAACGCGAAATTCGTATGGTCGGAAACGAAGTGCTGCGCCCATCTCAGGTGGCTGGATAGAGCGAGGCCAGAGATGTTCCAATCGTGAAGGTTCCGGCTGCCGCAGGCGACGGGAACACGGCCGCTGTTGACCTCTGGTGTACGCCAGACGGCTCGCCAGTGCACCGCGCTGGAGCGCGACTGGAGCCACACCCCCTGCAGTCCCCTTTCGCGGAAAAAGTTTGCGCCACCTCGATCAGTGGATCTGCTGATATTTCTGCGCCCCTTCCTCTCCGCGTCCACTAGGCGGTAGAGGCAGCAAATACAGCAAAGCCCAGCTTCGCGGTGCGTGCATGGGGATGGATGATTCCCTCCTACGCTCTGGGACCCAGCCCCACCAGCTATAGCAGCTGCTGCCTTTCAGTTACTTGGTTTCATTCTTCCATAGTCCGGGTTGTCACTCCTACGCTCTGGGACCCAGTCCGGGTTGTCACTACACGGACGGGAACACTCCGTTTCCAAAAGGAAAAAAGAAAACGAGTTTCAGTTACTTGGTTTTTTCCTCCTAAAGCTGTACTGTACCAATGGTTCGCGCATTTAATTCGAGAGCAGCATGTTTACAAAACCGAAATGGAAACGGTGCAAAAACGAAATCTACTGCGTACACATGATGAGGTAAAGGACAACTTGGTGGAGATTTTTTTCAAAAGGATTTTTATTACACGTAGATGTAATATCCATGTGACAGCTCAGCCCTCGCCGTGACCTGTGAAGTTCAGCTTCAGCCGGACCATATCTTGCCGCCAATGGAGAAGATCTAGTTTCATCGTGCTCATTAATTTAATATTACTAAAACGAATATTACGCAATTTCTACGCTCCAATTACCATTTGTTTCTCCAAAGCGAATAGCACAAGAGAAGTGCCAACCATCAGCAGCACTGTTCTTGTGCCACTAATACAAGAGCTTAGAGACAAAAACAGAGAGGCCACTAGAGCATAAACAACGTGCCAAACCCAACCACAGTCGCCCCATATATACCCACGCCCCCTGTAAACCACAGCACCACCGCCTTGCCCTGCCCTACCCTGCCGACCAGAGCATCCCCGGGCCTCCTCCCGCCTCGGTGCCGCCGCCGCCCATGGCCGTCGCCAAGAGCAAGGCGGGCAAGCACGCCGCCCCGCTGCTCGGCAAGTACGAGCTCGGCCGCCTCCTCGGCCGCGGCACCTTCGCCAAGGTCTACCACGCGCGCTCCCTCGTCGGCGGCGAGGCCGTGGCCATCAAGGTGCTCGACAAGCCCGAGCTGGCCGCCACGGCCGGCATGGACGCGCGCGTGCTCGGCGAGGTCTCCGCCATGCGCCGCCTCCGCCACCCCAACGTGCTGCGCCTCCACGAGGTGCTCGCCACGCGCTCCAAGGTCTACCTCGTCATGGAGCTCGCCCCCGGCGGCGACCTGCTCTCCAGGCTCGCCGCGCTCCCCAAGCGCCGCCTCCCCGAGCACGCCGCGCGCCGGGTCTTCCTCCAGCTCGTCTCCGCGCTCATCTACTGCCACGCGCGCGGCGTCTCCCACCGCGACGTCAAGCCGCAGAACGTCCTCATCGACGCCGACGGCAACCTCAAGGTCTGCGACTTCGGCCTCGCCGCGCTCCCGGAGTCCCACCGCGACGACGGACGCCTGCACACCGCCTGCGGCACGCCCGCCTTCGCCGCGCCCGAGGTGCTCCGCCGCAAGGCCTACGACGGCGTCAAGGCCGACGCATGGTCCTGCGGCGTCATCCTCTACGTCCTCCTCGCCGGCCGCCTGCCGTTCGACGACTCCAACATCGCCGAGATGTGCATGAAGGCGCACCGCCGCGAGTACACGCTCCCGGAGTGGGTGTCCCAGCCGGCGCGTCGCCTCGTGAGCCGCCTGCTCGACCCCAACCCAGCCACCCGCCTCACGGTCGCCGAGCTCTCCAGCCACCCGTGGTTCAAACGGTCGCTCAGCCTCGACTCGCAGCTCGGCAGCCTCCTCGGCGGCGCGCCGGAGCGCGACCTCCTGTTCCAGGCCCCGCCAACACTCAACGCGTTCGACATCATAAGCATGTCGCCGGGGCTCGACCTGTCGGGACTCTTCGGGGAGAACCGGCGGAGCCGGGAGAAGCGGTTCATGACGACGGCGTCGCCGGAGCAGATGGTCGAGCAGCTCGGGCACTCGGGCGCAAAGCTCGGTTACTTCATGGTGGGCAAGAAAGGAGTAGAGCGCCTTCCACTAGGCGGCCTGTCAGGGCTCGTGGCCATGTCCATGGAGATGTCGGAGGTGGCACCACCCCTGATGCTCGTCGAGCTTCGGCTGGAGGCAGGCGACGACGAGGAGGTCCAGGCGTTCGGATGGGACGAGCTTAGGACGGAGCTTGGGGAGGTGGTCATGGCGTGGCATGGATGCGAGGAATTGTGAGGAGGGGTTGGGGGATGTACATGTATGATCTGATGCCAGAAAGAGCTAACTAGGACTTTGTGGCAGATTGAAGGGGGTAGATTTGTTATTAGTTCATTCACTCTGATTTGATGCTTGTGATTAGAAATTTTGTGGGAATGAATCTAGCTGTGTCTTTGTGGTGCTAGCCTGAAGGTCTGAATCTGATGATAATAACCATGCCTTATAATTGGGTTGATCTTTTGACTATATGAACACAACCATACACTGGTACACTGCATGCACCAAATTAAGGAACAACCTAAATTAACACAATGGCATAATTTTTTGTCCTTGGTTGTTAGTCCATTCAATCAAAGTGATGCTTGCCTTTGCAAGGAGATGCTAGGTTGTTAGTCGAGCCATGATTTGTGATGCTTACTTCAACTTGAAGGCTTGAATCTAATGGTACTATATGGTAGCCTTAGGCCTTAGGCGACATGATTCAGGTTGGAACATTGTCTGAACTCTCTGGAAGGTAGCCTGCTTCTTTTCCATTAAAAACTCCACATGCATAATGCAAATCTGAGGGCTTTCCAAAGACAATTAGTGCTGATAAATTAGTGCCATGACAGCTACTCCAAGGTGTTTCCTGCCAGCACAATAAGGGCCACTAACTCTTCATAAATTTTTGGCGGAGATTATAACAGTCTAATGCACCACGCGGCTGGTATGCTACTGAACGTCTGAACCAGAAGAAAACTGCAGCTCAGCTGCCTGCAACTGTCCCTACGATTATGCATATGTAGGTGCTGCTTACCCATTAATGACTACTGTAATTACTGTCAGGATTTGGAAACTGAAAAGGACCAAGGAACGAATTCCCTGTCTTAACTCGCAACAATATCTCAGCGCGTTCTTGTTTGTTGTGCTGGTCGTTTTCCATGTCAGTTCCTTCATGTCTGTCCTTCAGTGGTGGCCTGATGATTGCCCATATATGGAAGAGTCATCTGCGTCCGTCCGTTTGAAGCGCCAATGAATTTGCCTTGCTCAAGAATATGCCGTAATCGCTTTTCACGACGCACAAAGGTTGGCAGGATGATTGGAACCTGTCGACGAGTAAGCATCTCGGTAAAAGTAGTGGGGGTGGTGGTCAAACAGAAGCAATCGGTTCCAATCACTGGCTCGTATACGCTATGGAAATGTCTGAATATCAGAACTGGAAATGGACACTAAAGGTTTTTATGCAATACAGATGACTAGTACTGCACCAAGGTTTGCATGATCCTGTTCACAAGTGTAATTGGTGATTCATGTTAAGTGATTAGCACGCACATTCTGTTTCCCAAACTCCTAATTTCTGTTAAGTGATTAGCACGCACATCCTAGTTTCAGGAACTCCTAATTTGTGTCTAGTGATTAGCATCAATGGTAAACCTATTGCCGGTGTCAGTGGGCAGTAGTGAATGAGAAGTCAAAGTAGGTTCAGAAAGCCTAGGAGTTGATCGATGTCGACGAAAGCGAGTGGGTGGTGGGTCAGATAGATACCAGCGGGCGAAAAAGGAGCGACCTTGACATGGGCACCATGGAATTAAGGTACCTGACAGTAGCTTAGGGACAAAACTATAAGTAACTTGCAATGCCAGCTTATCTCCTACAGTAGTCTATTCTCTGAAGCTACTGTAGTCCGCAAGTTCTCCGGTCTAAACTGGTGAAAAGGGAGAACGAGGTATTGCATTTGAGTATGTGTGCTGGCCGGCCGACAAGGCCATTACAAGAAAATGGGGGCAATGGAGCAGCTGCAGCATGAGCAAATGAAGAGGCGCATACTGATGTTGGCGTTTGACTGTCTCTGTCTGTTGCCAATTCTGAATCGACAGACATTGCAAAGAGAAGCCAAAATAATCTTCTGCTCTTTTCATCTTTCTCTTGGTAGGTCTATCGTCATGAGTACCTCCGTCAGCGGAGGGGAAAATGGAGAGGATTGGTGGCGATGATAAGCACGTACGACGGCATATATTCCACAACAGTTTGGCACGTCTGCACGTGATAAATTACTCTCTCCATTGACAAATATAAGATTTTTAGATATTTCAACAAGACTGCATTCGGACCAAACTAAGTGAACAAACACACTAAAACATGCATATATCCATTCGATTCACACAAAATTAGAACATCTTATATTTATGAATAGATGAAGTATATCTTTTAAATGAAGGCTCGAGATGAACCCGACTTTATGTTAATCTAAACTATAAAGCCGACAACCAATCAGGAATTGCAGCGACTAACATCATATCGACATGTTTATAATAAAAAAAATCATATAGACATAAAAAGAACAGCTACAATAGTGTTGAGGAAACAACTACTCATAGTCATAGACAACGAACAAGGAAGCAAAATAGCTACAATGTCAAGGCCTTGTTCTATTGTTCACCCTGCTGACTACACCAGAGCGGAAAGGCGGTATCCTGAAGGGAGGGAGGCCATCAGAGAAAGATCTTACCCTTATTTGCTCCGCCGGCGAGACATTGTCAAAGTGGCATATGTCTACACCACGGAAGAAGGCCTCTGCCCTCTCGACCGGGATCGAAGGGCGTTGCACTGCCGGCAAGGCAGAACCACTCAGCCGAGAGCCCACATGAACACTGGATAGGTTGTTAGGTTTCCAAAACGTCGTGCACGCACCAAGAAAACAAACCGCGGACACCGCCGCCTCCCACAACAGAAGACATAAGCATTAGAATGAGGTCGCAGAGAGCTGAAAAGATAGTTCAACAATGCCACCAGGACTGGTTGGAGTTCTTCAAGACCGTTGGATCATCACCACCATTGAAAATCTCATTTGAAGTTTCAAAAAAGAATCTAAAAATTCACATGAGTTCATATTGATGTATAGTACATGTGTGTAAAATTGGAAGATGAAAAACATAATGCTACACAAAAAGGAGAAAATCATGATTTTGAAATGGTGAACAGTACACACACTATTCACTATAAAAATGCACAAATTTGTCTTTTGTGTAGCTCTCACCATAATGTACACTTTACACACATGTAGAACACATCAATACAAATGCGTGTGATTTTTCAGAATTTTTTGAATCTTAAAAATATGATTTTCAATTTTCTCAAAAAAACAAGTGCCATGGAGCTCGTCCTCCAAAATGCCCTACTCCGCACGAGCAACTTTTTTTTGCGTGCACCTTACTTAAAAAGAAAAAAACTGCAAGACGACATAGTCATCACTATCACAGAAGAACAATTGAAGCATTGGTTTTAGGGGAAAGAACAATTGCACCAATGTTGGGCACTGATCAGAGATAGACATTGGACAGTTCGGCAACGACTAGTATGATTATGCGTAGGCATGATGGGTCGATTATTTTTGCAGCCTATCATTTTATTTTCCACTGTAACGACGCTCTCGAAGCAGAGATTTATGCTTTAATGCATGGTATGACACTGGCCATCCAACACACTGTTCTCCCGGTCATTATTCAGTCGAATTCTTCAGAGGCTTTGAGGACCTTGTCTATGACTGGTGTGGATCGCTCAGCATATAGCATATGGACTGTTTGTCTCGTAGATCAGATTGTTGATGAATGGTAAGGAGTTTATTCCGCAGAAGATACGAAGGGAACAAAACAGAGTGGCAAATCGTCTGACAAACTACAGCCGCACGGAGTACACTACGGCAATGTGGCTTAACCATAGTCCCCTTTGTATTGAGGAACGTGTGTCTCTCGATTGTAACTCTATAAACATTAAATAAAATCATTTTTCCTCGCAAAAAAAAAGATAGACATTGGACTGAAACTCGGAAGATCAGTGATGTTCTTCTTTTTGCAGAAAATCAGTGATGTTGGGGAGCCATTAGTTAATGAGCGCTCCTTCGGGAGCATCGCAACGATAGCGCCACTTGGCGCGCTCTCAGCCATTTGTGACGTGTTGTGCTCTGGGCGCTCCCACCGAATCTTGTTTTTTTTATTTTTACGCACGTGTTTTCGGCTATTTAAAAGGGTTTTTTTTTGACATTTTGTTTTTCCATCGGTTTTCCTTAACTTTTCAATAAAAGAAATTCGGGATTTTTTTTTTGCGTGAAAGAACGCGTCTTTTTTCTTTCGCGAGAGTCACGGTTTTGCTTCCGTGAGAGGCACGGTTTTGCTTTCAAGAGTCACGGCCGTGCCTCTCGGAAACGAAAAAAACGTGTTTTCTGTTTTTTCCCTTTCGCGAGAGTCACGGTTTTGCTTCAGCGAGAGACACGGTTGTGCTTTCACGAGAGTCACGGCCGTGCCTCTCGGAAACAAAAAAAAACGTGTTTTCTGTTTTTTTCCTTTTGCGAGAGTCACGTTTTTGCTTCCATGAAAGGCACGGATGTGCTTTCGTGAGTCACGACCGTGCCTCTCGAAAACGAAAAAAATGCATTTTCTGTCTTTTTTTCTTTCGCGAGGGACACGGTTTTGCTTTGCGCGAGAGGCACAAGTGTGCTTTCGCGAAAGTCACGGCCGTGCCTCGTCGAAAATGAAAAAAAAATGTGTTTTCTTTTTTTTTCATTCCGCGAGAGGTACGGTTTTGCTTCCGCGAGAGGCACGGTTGTGATTTCGTGAGAGACACGGATGTGCTTTCGCGAGAGTCACGGCCGTGCCTCTCGGAAACGAAAAAAACATGTTTTCTGTTTTTTTTCTCCTTTCGCGAGAGTCACGATTTTGTTTCCGCGAGAGGTATGGATGTGCTTTCGCGAGAGTCACGGCCGTGCCTCCTTGGAAACAGAAAAAATTGTGTTTTCTCTTTTTTTTTCATTCCGCGAGAGTCACGGTTTTGCTTCCGCGAGAGGCATGATTGTGATTTCGTGAGAGGCTCGGGTGTGCCTCTTTCGGAAGGGAAAAAACCCGTGCTCCCGGTTCAATATTTTTGTCCGGTTTTTTCGTGAATAAAAAGTTCGTCAAAACCTACCAACATGGGATCTAGTTTGGAAGATCTCAACGCGAGGAATCCAACGATGAAAGCGGCTCGAGATTTGGACGCATGGTTTGAGAGATAAAATGTTTTTAATAAACTTATTTATGAAAAAAAGGAAAACTTCCAGGTTGCGAAAGTGACACTGCATGTGCGTCACTTGTCGCAACCTAGGGAGTTGGAGTGATCTTTGCAACGAGTACTCTTCAACTAGTGATTTCGATGTTTATTTCTCGCCTGCTCGCACAAAACAATTATAGCTTCTTGTCAGTGGCCCAATCATATGGGCCGGACCATATAAACGGCCCATGTGCATCGAACAATCGTCGAGGCACGAGACAAGCACGTGCTAACGCAGAAACCACAGAACTCTATCCCATCAGAAAAATCTCCGCGACTCCTCCCATTTCCTATCACTCCGGCGTGCGAGCGGCAGCCATGGTGATTGCTTCAGTCGCGACCTACTCCTCGTCCCTAGCGCCACCGCCGGCGAGGAGTACGGCGTACCGAGCGCGCCTCGCCGCCGCGGGGCTCTCCTCGAGGGCGTCCTCCTTCGCCGCGGGCAGCGGGCTCGCCGTCGCGGCGGCTTCCGTGGCGGTGGCCGCGCGGCCCAGGCGGACGGGCGCGGGGGGCGGCGCGCTCGGGTGCAAGTGCCTGTTCGGGCTCGGCGTTCCGGAGATGGTCGTCATCGCCGGCGTCGCGGCGCTGCTGTTCGGCCCCAAGCAGCTCCCCGAGATCGGCCGCAGCGTCGGCAAGACCGTCAAGAGCTTCCAGCAGGTACGGAATTGGAGCCTAAATTAGTAAAGATAGCGTGTATCAAAATAGGGAAATTTATCTTCCTTATAAGATCCTGGCAGTAGAGTATAACAAAGTCACAAAGAGGGGCAACTTAAAATCAGTATTCGATTTCTAGATGCCCAATTCAGGTAGTCAAATCGCTGAAACATTTGAGCTTTAACACTATGGGAATATGGGACATGCTTTGTGCCTATTGGCTGAAGCAGATGATTTGGGTACTTTTCATGTGCTGCTATCTGATATTCATATACCACTTTATTTATTGTAAACTGTAAATAGGTATTCGTGGTAGCTACCGTGCTATATTACTTTCAAATGTAACCGTGAGTAGGTTTCCTGCTACTGAATGCAGGTGTTCTGTCCTTTCAATCATTTTAACATGAACTGGACTGGCTCTAGCATCTTCATTGGGCATAAACAGTCAATCAGGGAATATGGGTTGATGTGAGAAACTTATCGATTAAGACGGGATAGTTTGGGAGCGTTTGAAGCTTCAAGCTTGATCACCATGTCCATTTTGATTTTGCCAACAGGCAAGCTTGAGCTTGTCTGCACCGTTTGCAGTTATCAGATTAAGTTATCAAGGAATTCATTCAGTGGATACATATGCACATATGCCTTAGTACTCCCTCTGTTCCTAAATATAAGTCTTTTTAGAGATTTCACTATGGCCTACATACGGAGCAAAATGAGTGAATCTACGCTCTAAAATATGCCTATATACATCCGTATGTAGATTGTGTGGAATCTCTTAAAAGACTTGTATTTAGGAACGGAGGGAGTAGATGATATTGGTCTCTGTTCATGCTGTCGTTTGCTTTACAATGTTGTGTTATGTTATCTAGTCCAAATGTGTGTGGTTGTCCCATACCTTTTAGTTTGTGCAGCCATGCTGATTTGTGCTTGCACTTGCTGATGCATGGGCCAGCATGAGTGTGAGTCTCGGATCTGGGGTCGATGTGCTCTAGAGTGCTTTTGATTTGCCCATGAAGCAATGGGGATATGTGACATGTATTGGAGTGAAATAGGGAGTTATGCTAAATACGTGGCTAGGCAGAAGGTCTGCACTGCACAAACTTGATTTCCTTGCCTATCAAATCATATAACTATTGCACACTTCTCTGTAGGCAGACCATTCAATTCCAGTTTATGACTTGTTTCCTTACCCGTCTGCCTATCTAAATCCATTCTCAGGCAGCCAAGGAATTTGAAACAGAACTGAAGAAAGAACCCGGGGAAGGCGACGACCAGCCTCCACCTGCAACCCCCACGGCGGTCAGCAGCAGCGACGATGAAGAGAAAAAGGAGCTAGAGGCATCGAGTAGGAAAGAGAGCGCATGAGGACCGGGCCAACGATCGCGAACTAGAAGAGTAAAGTTGTGTATGTAAAAACATCGTGATGTTCTAGCACATTGCTCCCTGTTTTTGTTGTTCTTGCAGGCCATGCAGCAATATTATTTGTAACCGGCGAAAATGTGTTCCCTGTGAAATACCATGTTGCTAATGTATGAGGTTGCTTGTGTACATCAATGTATGAAGTTACCTGTGTACATCTCTGTTGTTTTTCCTGTCGAAAATTATAGTATTGTACTAGTATATCAGTTTGGAATAGAGCAGTGAAGAATTGTGCCTGACATTGCTAACTCAGTTGGATTTGTAGTAGTGAGGATGTGCCAGGATTTTTTATTTTTTTTAGTTGAAGATGTGCCAGGATTATAGTCGAGACACTAGCGGGTGGGCCCGCATTGTCAGCCACTATAGCCGAACGTTTTGGGCCCCAGCAGCAGCGGGACATCTTCCCCCCGGGCAATAAACTCAGGAGGCCACACTCTCGGGAGTGGAAAGGAAAGCAAAATCCGAAATTATCGCCATGGTTCTCCTCGCCGTCGCGTCCTCGCTCAAAACCCTAAACCCTACCTTGAGCCCGAGCCCCAGCCGACGCCGTCTCCTCCTCAGCTCCTCCCATCTCCGCCTGCCGCCGCTGCTCTCGCGGAGCGGCCGCCTCCGCTGCTCGGCCGGCTACGGCGATGCCGCCGCGCCGCAGCAGGCGGCTCCGACGACGCAGCGGCCGGACGAGATCCCGTGGAGCAGGGAGCTCTGCAACTCGGTGCGGCTCATAGGGACGGTGGGCACGGACATCGAGCTGCGCCAGCTCCCCAGCGGCGCCTCCGTCGCGCGGGGGCGCATTGCCGTCTGGAAGTCGGCCACCGAGACCACCTGGTAAGTAATTTCGGCATTCGCTGAGCCTGAGCTGTGCTAGCTCGTGATTACAGCTCGAGTGGATGCCGTTAACGTGTTTGGCCGTGTTTATTAGTGTAACTAGCATGGTAGTTCATGGATGCCGCCAAATGTTCGGCACTATGCAGAGGGGAGCAATTTAGTGCTGATGTAGATATGGAGATGTTACAAATTACTAATAGAACAAACATGCGCTATGTACGGTTCCTTGCCATAGATTGATGCCTCAGTTTAAAGGGACTTTAGTTGGGGCAGGAAAATTTTAAGTATGCTTCTTCCTTGGGGTTATTAGCTAGCTATAAGAGTTACGCACCAAGATTCAGAAATATGTTATCAACTAATGTGCTGTGGACATCTTCTGCAAGAATCATTCACAGATTAAGCATGAAGCTGAGAGCAAGGTCCAGATTAAGCATGAAGTCAAGAGTATGATTAACATGTTAATTAAGCCTGAAACTCCACTTTGCATTATGCAATAATTGTTTCCCTTTGTCTAATGAGTTTGCTAACCCAAAACTGAAGTTTGTTGCATGCCTCAAGCAAAATTAGGAACCATACCTCTTTGTTGCTATGTAAGTCATGCAGTCATGCTATATCGTCTTCTCGTCACATGTTAAATAATGCATTAGATGATTGTCCATTACATTCTTAATATGAATTAGTATTCATAAGTGTTTAATGGGGCGGTGCTTGTAGGGTAACTCTTGCATTTTGGGACGACTTGGCTGTTATGGCCTCTGAGCATGTAAAACAAGGAGACCGAATATTTGTTTCTGGACGGCTTGTATCAGATACTGTTGAGGAGGGGCCTGAGAAGCGGCAGGTTTACTACAAGGTACATCTCTGCAAATAATTTGTAATTGACTTAACATGTTTTCTTTTCATGCTGTTGTCATCACTGCTCTTTCTCGTGGTTATGAACAGTATCATATATTTTTGCAGGTTGTCGTTCAACAGTTCAACTTCATTGAGTCCTTCCAACCTGTGCGGTTATATTCAGAGTCAAGCCAGGATGGTATGGATTTAACTCGAGCTGGCTTACTTATATCTTCATTTCGTATTGAAAAACTACTGCTTCTCTTCTCACTTGTTTATACTTCTGTCTTATGGTTATTTATTTGTCTGTTTGCGATATTTACTTTCAGTAGACAGCAGTACTGTAATTGTTTGCATTTTGTATTGCTCACATTTCCTTCAAACTGGCTATGTTCAATGTCTAATCATTCTGGGGCTTGGATATCGTTCTGTAGTCTTCAAAGTCATGTGTAATAGGCCCCTCTATTTAAGGTCTGTATTTAAAGTGTTACCCTGTGCACCTTTTAGAAGATAGCAAGTTACATTTGAAAGACCGCAGGTAAGGTTGTGAGAAGTTATCTCATGTAGCCAAATTTATCATGGGTTTTAGTGCCAAAATTTGCAACACAAGATAAGTACTCTTTCTTGCTTGATTGTCAGACATTTGCGCACCAAATTGCATCAAGTTTCATGGATTTTTTCAACTGGGCATTTTTGGTTCAAAACAACATCTTTCCTGTATATATATAGCCCAGTATTAATTCTTAAGAGGCTCTAGTCCAGTGATACACATAACTGGATGCTAGATAGCTGTATATTGATGTAAGAAAATATATTGAAAAATAGTAAAGGTTGACACTTGGTTGTGAATTAAAGGTGGAAAGCATGGAGATTATGTTGGTAATGATTCTACCTCTGGTTCAACTGAGAATAAAAAGGGAGATTACATGAGTTCCTCCTCTCGTTCAACTGAAGCACTGTGGCAAGCATTCTTCGCTAATCCTCTTGACTGGTGGGATAACAGGAAAGATAAGGTGACATCTCCTTTTATTCCTTTTGGGGCATTTAGAATTTTAGATGCATTGACGTATATTGTTTTCTATGTGTTAATGTCTGTCTTTGTATGTAAACCACCTATACATTTTAGGAGTGTTTATCCAGTAGCAAATGACTGAGCGCAAAACATGGAGTACACTGTTAAGGCCCTATTTTGATTGAAGGAATTTCATAGGAATTTTGGAGGATTCCAATCCATATGAATTTTTCCAAGCCCTTTGGATCTCATAGGAATGGGTTTACCAAATTACTATGGAATCCATTCCTATACCCTCCCAAAAAGCACCAACACGGGGATGGCAACACAGTGATACGCATACGGGGACGCGGGATACAACATATTCCAAAAACAGCCATTTGGGGATACGGCGAGTATATATAAAATAAAACAAAAAATATGCCATGTAATATAGAGTTAAGACACAAAAATTAATGAGAAATTGAGATAAGATCAGAATACTACCCCATTAAGGCCTCGTTTGATGGAAGAGGTTTGAAGAGGATTACAGGGGAATATCCCCGCAGGGCCCAAAATCCCCAGAAAACCCCATCAGCCCATTTGATTCACAGGGATTAAACTGGCCAAACCACTCCAATCCCCGCCAACCCCTCCCGACCCACGCGGCTCAACAACCATATCGGGGATACGGCGGGTATTTCCTTTTTTTTTAATACCGGAATCATGGGATACTGCGGATACGCGTATCCTAGTGTATCTTGGCATGTCGCCGTATCCTGCCTGGGACGGCTAGTTGGCAGTTTCTGCTGTATCAGTGCTTGCTAGATACCCTCCATTCCATAGGAATCTAAACATAAGCTCAAACCTCATTTTATTTTTCCCTTGAGAAGTCCAATGCACTTACACCCTATCTCTCTCCACTCTCCTAAATCCTGTAAAATTCATGTGTTCATTTCCTGTACATCATTCAAAGACGCATAAAATTCATGTGTTTTGAAATCCTGTAGGAGTTCATAGTACATGACATCTCATTCCTACCTTTATTTCCTATTCCTACATTTCTAAATTCCTACGATCCAAAGAAGCCTGCAAACTTTAGTGGCATAGTAACATTCTAACTATACATTGCATGTGATTTGACGTCAATTTTACTATTTTTATTAGGAGTTTATGTTTTTCCAATTCCCATGAAGTGTGAACCGAACACTCAAGTTGACATAATTTCTGTTTACCAGTCCTCTGTTTTGCACATGCATTCCTATCCTATTCCTGTGCTTTTAGAATCCTGCGAACCAAAGGGGCCATAAACATCTTAAACCACCAAAGAAATGCTGAAATAGTTGAGAGCCAGAGAGGAGTATTGGAGTGTAGCCAACATGGAAAATAAAAACGGCAAGATGCCGAATGTAGCCGAGAAACTTAAAATAAAATAATAACTCTCTTTAATGTTATTTTTTCATTTGTACCAAGAATCAGGGCTTGTCTTTCCCTTTGGACAAGAAGACTGGGCATGGCTTCCGAAATTTGAGAAGAGTGCCCACCCCCCTCTTCAGTGTTCTGCACGCCTTATATATTTTGTGCCAACTTAATTAACATAAGTACTGTGGTAATATTGCTGTGCAATCGAATTTTAATGGGTTATGACTTATCACTTGTGTCAGTCATGATTGTAAGGCACAGCCTAACTGTTGCTTCAGTGCTGAAGTGCCCTAGGGTGGTAAGGTGTTGCCTCTGCCTTAGACATCTAGCGTATGGCTGCCTCATTGAAGTGTCTGCCGCCTCCAGGGGTCTCTCCCGCTTCATGTTCCTCGATGTGGCTGCCCCTGGGGCTTGGAAATGACGATCCTGCCACCTCCTGCACTCCGGCGAGTGTCCTGTCGTTGTGTGTGCTTCCAGTCACCTTCCCCTCCTCGATCAAATCTGCTGTTCTTGTGAGGATGAATAGAGGTTGCAGCGAGGGAGAAGGGTCAAGGGTGGGGTTGTGAGGAGAATGGATGAGTGTGAGGGTTATGTGCTTGTATGAGGAGGAAAGGGAGCAAAAGAAGTGTGGTGGTTGTGCTGAGGGAGAACGGAGGGACAGCGGAATTAGGCCATAGGAGGAGTATAGTGCTACTACTTGGGCTTTTGGGCCATGGGGAAGTGCATAACTAAAGGGCCATTGTTCAATCTTTCTATTTTTCATTGTAATATACTCCCTCCGTCCCAAAATAAGTGTCGCTGATTTAGTACAAAAGTTATACTTCAACGACACTTATTTTGGGACGGAGGGAGCGTGTACCCACTGTTCTGTTCCTGTAATATCTAAGGCACCGCCTTGCCACGCCTTGCCTCCTCGCCCTAACTGTTTAGAAGTTAAGGCAGGGCTTAAGGGCCTCACCTTGCCTTACCGCCTTAAAAACTATGGTTCAGTGTTATACGCTCACAGAGAATTGTCAAAGTCATTCATCTTGAATTTGGAAAAAGATCAATAACAAATGGAAGTAAAATGTGATTCATCACCATCCATGTTTTTAAGGTGTCCATAAGGCGACACTTAGACACCGCTTAGGCTGTAAGGTGCCCTGGCAGCGTCCTAGCATTTCTTCCACCTTAGGAGCTTAAGCGGCAAGCGGTGGTTGATCACCTTATGGCTGCTGCCTTAAAAACGTTGGTTGCCATGATATGTATAGTACACCATAGTTTTCAAATGTGTGGTCAAACTGTGATATAGTTTTGTTCGATGTGCTTCAGGGTTCGCCAGTGATATAATTTGCTGGGGAACAAGACCCATAAATCCAGGGGGCATGGGCCAGAGGGGAGGACTGTGAGCTGCCACCATTGCTTTTCGTCTTAGCTATCGCCACTGCTGTTGCACCTCTTCATTGCTGAAGCTATTGCTGTTGGTGCACTGCTGTGGTTGCTGCCACGTCAATAGCTCTGTTCACTGATCGCTGGACATGAGAGAGGGAAAGGATGAGATCCGGTCGTGTACGCTAGCATTGAGCTAGCCAAGCGAGCTATTGGACTGAGAGAGGAGAAAGATTATGATCACTGATGAGATAAACAAAATGATGTGACCCGGTGAATGGGTTGGCTTCCTCCTGTTCTTATCTCCACTCACTTGGATCCCCTCCGTATATTCTCTCTCCTCTACTGGCATTAGGAGTAACAAAGTAGAAATTTCATGTGGATTGTTTTCTTATCCTTTTCTCCCTATTTACATGTAGTTCATAGTTTATTAGTTTCCCCTCTCCATGCTACAAGATATTGTATTGCATTGGACAGCGACTAGTTTTAGTTTGGTCTAATTATATAATTAGAATCTCCAAATAGCTCTGACTTTTCTTTTCCTCATAATAACTTGCAAAAATGATTCATCATGTTAGGTTCAGCCACATCGTGTTAGGTTGTGAAATTCGGTGCCATCTTCCTTTCCTAGCCCCCCACAAGCTTTATCATAGCAGTCGGTTGCATTTTTATTCATGTATATTCATTTGTTTGCAGCAATGATTTGTCCATCATACGTTTTCTTTGAATAAGTATATGCCCCCTCCCCTAATCCATACAATGATGACTAATGATTTTACGTATGTGTCAGCAGAAGAACCCAAGGTATCCAGACTTCAAGCACAAGAGCACCGGCGAAGCGCTGTGGATTGAGGGGAGGAACAACCCCAACTGGGTCGTCTCCCAGCTGGCGATCTTGGACTCGAGGATGGGTTCCCTGCAGGACAAGCAGAGGAAACCAGTCTCCTACATGTACGCCGACGACTTCATGACATCTGACGCCAGCGACTAGGCCCTGCTATAGGTGGGAGGAAGCTTCTGATCCCCCAAGCATCCAGCTCCAGTATCCTAAGGTGCGTTAGTTGCGCCAAGTCATCTGCGCGTCTCGGTTTTCGTTGTACATAGCTAGGCTCCGGAGGCTTTATTATTAGTCCATCTGTTCCACGTCGGTGGTAGTGACAAATTTGTGAACGAGAAGCTCTATCATCCGCACATCAGTTGACGCGTTCCATCGGTCGAGTCCCGCTCCCGTCTAATCAGATGACTAACAAGAGTTTGCAGTTTATACGTGGGAGGTTTCTGCACTGTCGAATCTGTCCCCGAATATCGCAACTTGTGTTAGGAATATATATCTCACTGTTGAGGGGCGCACATCGAACCAGCAGGATACACGTCGATACTCTGATGCTCCTGGCCAGACAACGATGATTTGCACCGAAAAAATATGTCGACCAGACAATGATGATTTGCACCGAAATTTGTGTCGACCAGACGGCTATTTTCCCCCAATAATGCTAAACATACAAAAAGTTACACGCTGACTAGGATTTTTTTCATCCACTAACCAATCATAAACTTGCCCCCCCCCCTCCCCTGATTTTCAGAGGGATGGGCTGCCTCGCCATTTATTGACCAATCAAATTAACCCTCTTTGT